TATCCCTATTCACATTCATCTACTCATGCATGTTAAAGCATAATTCAGCACGAATGTTCCTGCCGAGGTCTGAGCGCCAAAGACTATACTTTCTTATCAATAAATTATTCTAATTATCTTTTCTCTCTGTGTGAGTTTTTCAGATTGAAATAGCATTATGTGGCTGAGATTTTATTAAGATAAGTTACTGTCTTAGTCAGAAACTGTGATAATCAAACATCTACAAATGTGTATTAAAACTGCATCTAATCACCTCGACCATAGTACGGTTATTGTACGTTCCACTTCTGGGCAGTCATCAATACTTTTGACTGAGAGGGATACTCATGGTAAGAAAAAATGAAAATACTGGGATTTTCCCCCAAAACATATTCAGGTGTTATTTATAGGTAATGATGAACCTGTAAAAAATTCCATTAGGGCCAATATTTTTCTGCCTGTTTCTTAAAGGAATAGTGGAGGAGGATCTTTTTCCGAGGGGATTATCAGAATAAGTGGTCCTCCTAACTGTCAATCATTCTGGTGATAAGTTTACGTATTTTATTTCGAATGAATCTGAGTTTTACTTGTATGGAAACATCTTATAGTCGATGAGCTACAGTCAGCGTCCAATGAATATATTTTCTGCTTAGTGGATGGCATTTCCCGCTTTTGTTATCAACACCATTCCATATTAATTATGACAAAATGGCAGGCAAGTATTTCTTGGCTTAACACCGGTGGAGAGTCTGACATAGTGGAAAAATTGCACATTTTCTTTTGGAAAGTAAGCTTGTATGAGCGATGCAAACAGCAACTTTTAAACAGAGCTTGCACTGGAGAAATGCGGTTGTTTAAAATTTAAAGTGGAGAGGGTGGGTCTTTTCAAACATTTGTGAAAATCCTCCACTATACCTTTTGATAAAATGAACCTCATCAATATTTAACGAGAATGAATTTTATTCCCCATATTCTATTTCAAAATGTTTTACTTTTTAGGTCGTAGTGATGGACTATGGTATGAAGGAAAAGAACCCCATCAATAACGTGCGTTTTTACTGCAAGGATGACCCAACAAAAGCTATAAAGATCTGCAAAAACCAGGTAATAATTTTAGGCTATTGTTAAACAATTCCTTGTTTGTTCTTCATACTCTTCATACTCTAGTCCATTATACATCTCCATGAAACAACTTGATTATTAGCAGGGTTATGTCGAACTTGATTCCTTGCTGAGGAGCTCAGCCATTGAATTTCCATGTGTTGAACCAGATATAAGTCAGAAAGTTACAGGATCCCCAAAGACTGGAGTTTGTTATGTAATTTTTTTAAATCAATTTCTGCTTCCATCTTGAAACTTTTTAATTTGCCACCTGCTATTGCTTTCAGGTATCTAAACTTCTCCCAGAGCACTTTGCTGAACAGCTGATCAGGGTCTACTGCAAGAAAACAGATGAGAAGACTATGGAGGCTGCCAAGAAGCACTTTGTTCAGTGGTGCATGGACATGAACTTCTCGAAGCCTCAGGTATTCCTGCAAACTGCATGGCATAAACTATTGGTTGATTGCTATTTAAAATGTACAGGACTGTGTTTGACAATATAAAGGGGTTCCCCCCTCATTTATATGGTCCTGGAATCCGAAAACACAACCCATTATGTGTAATGACCTAAACAAATGTGCCTAACCTCTGTGGTGAGACATAAATTCTCTATTATGTTGGTGGCAACATATCTGCATCCTAGGTGCTGTGTGAAGGAATGTCAAAGCTACAGTATTAGCTGAAGCACTAGGTGTGACCAGAGTAGGATTATATCTTAAATTGGACAGCACTGAGGATATGATACAATGAAATACAGTTTGTCTAACAGTGTAAATTTGCTATCCCTTCATTATACTCAGTGAAAAGCAATAATGCCTGGATTGTTGACAACATAAACTGTGTAGAAAATCCTCTATTGTTGTCTCATGTTTTTGTCACAAATGGATGGTGGAACCGCCTTGCTAAGACAACCCGCCCATATCACCATGTGTTGTAATGGAAAACTACCATTGTAAACTTAAAATGACCCAAATGGGTACTACCAATGGGAAACTGCATTAAGGGCATAAATTATTGGAAGGATATCCTATGATCTGATAAGCCCAATGTACACCAGGATGGTTCATAGGCTATTAGGCACATGTGGCGACAAAGTACAAAGACTTTGTTGCCTGCAGCCCAAATTGGTGAAGGCAGTGTTTCAATTTTCACCTGCATGACTGATTCCTTCTGTGGGGAGCTACTGTGCATTGATGAAAATTGTGCACAAATTGTAAAAAAGGATCACTCAACAACACAGTTGTTTGATTTCTAAAAGAGGTTTCTTTCCTTTATCGAGACCTGTATTTAAAAAGAAAAATAATTCTGGGATGCTTGCTCAGCTTTCTGTATATAAAACCTCTTGTACTGTTGAGCTAATGTGAACAGGGAGAGTGCCTCCTCCACCGCTTGCTGAAACTAATGGTTGTTGCACAGAAACCTCCCATACTTATCAGGCTATTTAATAGAGACAGATGTGGTTCGGATGGTCAGAAAGCAGTTATTGGCACCTACTGTACATGTGGAGCATCCCCATACACTGTAGTATCAAAAGACCTTCAAGGAAATTCTGTTTAGGTTTAGCTTGGTAAAGGGGTACCTTTATAAATCTGTTTGGCATATGGAAAGAAGTGCAACCACAACATTTGCATTAAATTTAATCGTAATCTAAAGCAGTGTTTTTCAATGCTGGTCCTCAAGGCATCCTGCTCTGTATGTTTTGGATGTTTCTGAGGTTCAGCAAACCTGATTCAGATGATTGCAGTTCAGCAAAGCCTGATAATCTGCTATCAATTGATAACAGGTGTGTGAAAGCTGGAAAACATTTAAAACATGCAGGGCAGGGTGCCTTGAGGACCATGAATAAAAAAGCACTGATCTAAAGGATGCTCACGTTTTACCTAACCAACAAGCAGAGCCCATCTTCTGCATCAGTGTCTGCACTACTCTGTGTTTCTGCAATGTTAATACACTGTCACCTTAGACAGTAACAGACTGGTGGTCTTTCTTCAGTAGCTCATAGTTGACTTTGGTTTGAACTGCAGTTATTTGTCCTCATCTCTAAGTCCATTTGGATGAATTTGTCTAACAAATATGAAAACTATCTAACCTTTTATCATTACTTTTTCGTTTCATTTAATCCTGTAGACTCTGGATTCTTGCATATCCCATAATAAATAATTCTTTTCTTTCTTACATGTAGGATGGAGATATTATAGCGCCTGAGCTGACTCCTCTGAAAGCAAGCTGGCACAACAACAATGAAGGCGAGGACAGTGACGACAGCAGCTCCAAAGTAACAAACCCTCTTGTGAACGGACTTAAGAAAGCTAAAACTCAGCTTAACTTTAAGTAAAAGAGAGATCCATGCGCTAAATATTGCACATACAAAAAAGTAAACAAAGATCAGTGTTACATGAAAGTTGTATTTTTGTACAAGGTGGGTGGGTTGATGAGTCCAACAAACAGGTTTTAATACAAAGAAATGTTCATATTGAAAATATATGTTCAAGAAAAAGAATGCTCCATTTAAAAATATATATATTTTATTTTCTAGTCACTCATTTTATTTTCAAGAGCTCAATAGCTGATCCAATGTTTTTCTTTTAAAGATAATTTTCAAAGCAATCTTCCCATCATCAAATTTCATTCTGCCTTTCTATGTTGTTCATCATAGTCGGGCTGCACCTAAACACAACTCGGTACATTTCAATGTTTCTAAATTTTATTTGAGATTAGGTGGGAAGACTATTTATTTTTTTTTTGCAGTTTTTGGTGAATTTTTGTTACAACTTTATTTATTGTTTATCCAGAAAATGAGTCTGCTTACTCGTCATATTGCCTTGCAGGTCTAAATAAAACACTCTATAGAGTTTTCATTCAACCTGTGTAATAATGACATGGACTCCTCAGATCTTTGCTTGATTGTGTTAAAAAAAAAACTCAGATAATGTTTCTTGCCGTGACTTTTGAATGTAATCCTTCTTTCTGGGCGCATTCCTTTGCAATAAACCCCTTTGAGGTCATTTTCTGTTCCTTTTTTTTTTTTTAGGAAAGATGGCACCATTCAGGCATCTGAAGCTACAGATGAGATTTTTCCAGATAATTTTCACACATGAAAACCGAACAGAAAATATTTTAAACACATCTTTAGAATCAAAAACAGTGTCATTCAAAACGGTGTCATTCAAAATGAAATCATTCCTAAATGCTAGATTTTTTTTAAGTTTGCTATAAACTCTTGTGTTCCTAGGAGGGATGATTAAAACAACTCTATGTGCCAAGTTTTATTCAAATTCCAATCCAATATATGTATAAAACATACTTAAAAACAGCAAAAGTTGACCTCAAGTGCTGTGAAATCAAACAATACAGAAAAGAATTGACTAGACATGAAAGAATCCAAACCTACTCCTGGTAAAACAACAAACAAATCATGCTGTGTTAAATACCATGAGACATATAGATGGGTCTTCAAGGAGAATTTGAAAGACATCAGTAAAGGAACCTGCTTAACATGCTAACATAACACATTTCTTAACTTGGGGGCCAAAACTGTGAGAGGGTAACCATTCCAAGGCTTCACTCAACCTTGGAACTCTAAGGAGCAGCTGATCATCTGACCTTACAGCCTGTCTAAGATAGTAAGGGTGAATTAAATCTGTAAGATAAGAAGGAGGAAGACTGTAAGGACATTAAAGACAAATACAAGAATTCAAGCACAAACAGTGTCAATGGAGAGCAGCCAGAAGAGGAGTGATGGGATCTTGCATGTGTGGGTTTGGAGATAGGCGGCTGCATCCAAAGTATTTTACCCATTTAAAATTACATTCTAAATGTGCTAAACTTGTATGCTAAATTAGTGATTGGTGAAAATGGGCTGCTTATTGTAATGTTTTTCAATAGGTTTACAAAAGACAATAACAAAAAACTGTTTTTTGACAGTAACAAGCTAAGACCTCACTGCTGCAGGATTTATCCAGAACCCACATGGAAAATATCTCCTCTGTTCCTGTGGTGTCAATCCAGTAGTCCCCTAATAAGGCTTGGCTGTGTGTTCCTGGTAAGTACTGGCTAAAAGGTTTGGACTGTGTTTCCCAGTCAGTACTGGTTAAGTAGCCAAAAGTTCTTGTCCTTTCCACATGGAACTAATCAGTAGTCTCATAGTAAGACTGGCCTACGTGTTTTCCAGTAATCCACGTGCTACAAAATGAGAACAAGTATTTCTGGATTTAAATGCTTGCAACAATTAAGGGTGTGATTCCATTTTTTTTCATGATTGGTATTTTTGTTGGCTTTGTTATGAACCGATACATACCAGCAATGTTTTTCTTTAACAGCAGGTCCAGTGACAAAGTGGTACTGTATACTCAACTCTTTACTTCTTATCATTAATGCTGCTGTTGTTTGTGTGTCTGATCTAAACCAGGTGTTCATCATATGGTTTTTGATGCTTTATGTGTTTCTTTATTTAGGAGGGAAGAAGAAAAAGGAATATTCAATAAGAGTTTGAAAAAAAGGTTATCTAAATTCTATGGATTCTACTGATGTCCCCACTATTATTGTTTGTAGAAGAAATAAAGTCACAGAGACACAAAAAGAAAAAAAAAATCTTGAGATAATCTGAACATTAGATCTGAATAAATTGTTTGTATGAAGGATTTAGAAGAAAACGTTTAATTCATCACTTTTCTCATATTTCTAACCTTCTCTCAGGTAGGAACAAATATGACGAACACTCCAGACTTGGCGTAGGAGTCTTGCACAATCAGTTAGCTGTTATCTAAACCTAGTTTTTCACTAAATTACTACATTGGTTGTTATTTGTAAACAATTTTCCATTTCATTAGAATACATCTTTATGTATTATGCAACTCTGCAATTATACATTACATTTTTATCCACCGATGACAGAACAATAGGTCACTAAACCTGCAACTGGCATATTAGTATCCAGCGGACACTTGTTTAATCTGTTGTCAGCGAGTCATTGAGATGAAACTAGTTTTAGATAATCTGAACTGTGTGTGATGGTTCATCATCCACTCTGTGGTCATTAACTAATAGAGAAGGTCAGTAAAAATACTAAGATGGGCTGGGGTGCTTTTACATTTTTTTTTTTTAAAGGAACAGGGAAAAAGTGGGCCAAGATGATGTCCTACACATGTATTTTACTACTGCCACCAATTTCAAAGAACAAGATATTAAGCTGAACAATAGAAATGCATCTTGAAATGAACTGAACTGAATGCTTTTTGACAATATTTTATTTTACTTTAGGGTGTCTTTTAAGCTGCATGTAAATTGTAATAAAAAAAGAAAAAGAAAAATATTCTTTGTGTCAAGCGTCTTTACTGCTGGAACTCATTAACCACAAAACGACAACAAGTAGGACTTTATTTAAATGCCTGCAACTGTCAAGGGTGTGATCCCATCTTTTCATACTTGGTATGTGTTTGTTCTTTTGCACATGATCAGGGACAATGCTGCCACTCACCAACATTTTCTGAAAACTGAAAAAAAGTATTTTGTTGTTAAACAAATTAGAAATGAGAACAACAACATACCATAATTAGGTTTTTGTAGATAATTCCAAAAATGTACCTGGGAGGGAATTTTAAGAAGTCACACAGAGACTTAAACACAATAAATCTTCTAAAATGCATTGCGTAGTTGTCAGGTAGTGATAAAATATATTTTTAAGTTTGCTATAAACTCTTGGGTTCCCTCAGAGGGATGATAAAAACAACTCTATGTGCCAAGTTTTATTCAACTTCCAATCCAATATATGTATGAAATATACTTAAAAACAGCAAAAGTTGACCTCAAGTGCTGTGCAATCCAACAATACAGAAAAGAATAGACCAGACATGAAAGGTTATCCAAACCTACTCCTGGTAAAACAACAAACAAATCATGCTGTGTTAAAGACCATGAGACATATAGATGGGTCTTCAAGGAGAATCTAAAAGACATCAGTAAAGGAACCTGCTTAACATGCTAACATAACACATTTCTTAACTTGGGGGCCAAAACTGTGAGAGGCTAACCATTCCAAGGCTTCACTCAACCTTGGAACTCTAAGGAGCAGCTGATCATCTGACCTTACAGCCTGTCTAAGATAGTAAGGGTGAATTAAATCTGTAAGATAAGAAGGAGGAAGACTGTAAGGACATTAAAGACAAATACAAGAATTCAAGCACAAACAGTGTCAATGGAGAGCAGCCAGAAGAGGAGTGATGGGATCTTGCATGTTTGGGTTTGGAGATAGGCGGCTGCATCCAAAGTATTTTACCCATTTAAAATTACATTCTAAATGTGCTAAACTTGTATGCTAAATTAGTGATTGGTGAAAATGGGCTGCTTATTGTAATGTTTTTCAATAGGTTTACAAAAGACAATAACAAAAAACTGTTTTTTGACAGTAACAAGCTAAGACCTCACTGCTGCAGGATTTATCCAGAACCCACATGGAAAATATCTCCTCTGTTCCTGTGGTGTCAATCCAGTAGTCCCCTAATAAGGCTTGGCTGTGTGTTCCTGGTAAGTACTGGCTAAAAGGTTTGGACAGTGTGTTTCCCAGTCAGTACTGGTTAAGTAGCCAAAAGTTCTTGTGCTTTCCACATGGAACTAATCAGTAGTCTCATAGTAAGACTGCCCTACGTGTTTCGCAGTAATCCACGTGCTACAAAATGAGAACAAGTCTTTCTGGATTTAAATGCTTGCAACAATTAAGGGTGTGATCCCATTTTTTTCATGATTGGTATTTTTGTTGGCTTTGTTATGAACCGATACATACCAGCAATGTTTTTCTTTAACAGCAGGTCCAGTGACAAAGTGGTACTGTATACTCAACTCTTTACTTCTTATCATTAATGCTGCTGTTGTTTGTGTGTCTGATCTAAACCAGGTGTTCATCATATGGTTTTTGATAATTTACATGTTTCTTTATTTAGGGGGGAAGAAGAAAAAGGAATATTCAATAAGAGTTTGAAAAAAAAAAGTTATCTAAATTCTATGGATTCTACTGATGTCCTCACTATTATTGTTTGTAGATGAAATAAAGTCACAGAGACACAAAAAAAAAAATTCTTGAGCTCTGAACATTGGATCTGAATAAATTGTTTGTATGAAGGATTTAGAAGAAAACGTTTAATTCACCACTTTTGTCATATTTCTAACCTTCTCTCAGGTACGAACAAATATTACGAACACTCCAGACTTGACGTAGGAGTCTTGCACAATCAGTTAGCTGTTATCTAAACCTAGTTTTTCACTAAATTACTACATTGGTTGTTATTTGTAAGCAATTGTCCATTTCATTAGAATACATCTTTATGTATTATGCAACTCTGCAATTATAAATTACATTTTTATCCACCGATGACAGAACAATTGGTCACTAAACCTGCAGCTGGCATATTAGTATCCAGCGGACACTTGTTTAATCTGTTGTCAGCGAGTCATTGAGATGAAACTAGTTTTAGATAATCTGAACTGTGTGTGATGGTTCATCATCCACTCTGTGGTCATTAACTAATGGAGAAGGTCAGTAAAAATACTAAGATGGGCTGGGGTGCTTTTCCATTTTTTCTTTTTTTAAAGGAACAGGGAAAAAGTGGGCCAAGATGATGTCCTACACATTTATTTCACAACTGCCACCAATTTCAAAGAACAAGCTATTACGCTGAACAATAGAAATGCATCTTGAAATGAACTGAACTGAATGCTTTTTGACAATATTTTATTTTACTTCAAGGGTGTCTTTTAAGCTGCATGTAAATTGTTATAAAATAATAAAAAGAAAAATATTCTTTGTGTCAAGCGTCTTTACTGCTGGAATTTACTAACGAATAAGGCAATAAGGCATTTTATTTAAATGCCTGCAACTGTCAAGGGTGTGATCCCATCTTTTCATACTTGGTATGTGTTTGTTCTGTTGCACATGATCAAGGACAAGGACTCACCTACATTTTTTTAAAACTGAAAAAAGTATTTTGTTGTTAAACAAGTTAGAAATGAGGAC